TGTTTCACACAAATGCTGGCACAGACGTGCATGTTCGGCTAGAGTCGATTTGAACTCGTGCATCTTCGGAAGCGGAGCTGCACAGAAAGTCCTGCCGCACACAGCCAAGCGAACTTGCGGACGCATCGAGTAAATCAGCCTTGTGTGCGTTAGATACAGTGAAGACAGCGCGTTAGTTTACAACTCTTTTCATTTTTTTCTCAGTGTTAATTTGTGCAATGATAACCTACCAGCAATGTAAGTGATTTTTTTAATATATTAGAATGAGTACATTACAATACAAATGTATTAGAATGAGTACATTATTATTTATGGGCTTAAAAACAAGATGCAAACAATCAGAATAGTGTACCTGGTTGGGAGTGCACAATGTAAACATGAAACATATGCCATTACCTATATTGTACTGTGGTACAGTTCTGGAGGCCCTTCATAATGCAGAGGTCCGCTGCCTGCTCTGCCAATAGTTAGAAATGGCACTATAGTATGCAGTGTTTAATAAATAGCTGTTTTTCTAACTTCTGCTGAGGTAAAATTCAGTGCAGTCCTGTATCGTATCGTGGCCTCTGTATCGTGACTTTGCTGGTGATACACAGCCCTAGTACGCCCTGTGATGTGCAATGTGCTGTAACGTCTGCTTGCTCGTGTCCATCTGTTTTTAACTCACATGCACTTTTTGCACGATGTTCATTTTCAAGTATCCTACGCACCTGCAGTAAAAGGACTTATTTTTTCCTGTTTGGAGCGCTACAATTTTCTCAAGCTTTACAAGTATTTCTCTGAAACAGTATTGGCAACAAATCAGTTAAATTCACTCTCATCTGCGGCACGTCGGTTTCTACCAGGATGAAGTGAGTGACGTGACATGTGGCCAAGTATACTAGGAATTAGTGCTCTGCATTTATCCCATCCAAAGTGCACACACACAGCAGTGAACACATAGACACCGTGAGCACCGTGAACACACACCCGGAGCAGTGGGCAGCCATTTATGCTGCGGTGCTCGGGGAGCAGTTGGGGGTTCGGTACCTTGCTCAAGGGCACCTCAGTCGTGGTATTGAAGGTGGGAGAGAGCGCTGTACATTCACTCCCCTGCCGGTACGAGACTCGAACCCGCAACCTTTGGATTATGAGTCTGACTCTCTAACCATTAGGCCACGACTTCCCCTTCATGACTTGAAGTCAGAGAAAGAAAATAAAGCTGCTAGAATGCCACATCAAAGTTTAATGTCAACTGACTTGAATCCAATAGAAAATAAGAACTAAAGATCAGAATTCATAGAAGAGGCCTACAGAACCTTCTAGATTTGAAGACTCTGTGGAGGAATGGGTCAAAATCACACCTGAGCAATGCATGCGACTAGGTTCTCCATACAGGAGGCGTCTTGAAGCTGTCAGTACCAACAAAGGCTTTTGTACAATGTATTAAATACATTTCAGTAATTCAATACTTTTGCCCTGTGTCATTCCATTTTATTACTCAGAACTTAATTTCTTAACTTATTTGTATTGTTTTCTTTGTATGTATGGATTACTTGGGTTGTTACCGACATCTGGCGAAAATTTCATGTCAACAGCACCTTTAGAAAAATATTTACTGGGAAAATGGTGACGTGTTCAATACTTATTTTACCCGCTGTATGTGTTAGCATCTCAAAAAAATGTGTTTTCGGGTTTCATGACACTTTAAAGGCAGCATTAGTGTTTGTCTGGTCGTGATCTCAACATGTCAACATTTTAATAAGGATCAAAGCTCACCTTTGAGAACGGAAACTAACCTGTTTGTTCCTCAGTATCTTCATGTCTGACTCTGAATGCTTCTTCAATCTTCACGTCTTCACTCTCCTCTTTAATAAACGCCATCTTTATAATAGTGTCACGTGGATCCCAGTTACTTCACCAGGAGTTTTTCTGTGTGTGTGAACACACTGTCATGTTTAAGATGAGAATAATTTACAATAATAAAACTAAATCCAAACTAAATGGATGCATCTCACTCAGCTCCCTAGTTCTGCAGTCAGGGTACTGGCAAGTTGTCAGTCAAAACAATGGTTTTCTTCAGTTGGCCTGGTTAGCCAGGCACTCCCAAAAGAACACTCAAAATTACCATTACAAAGCATTAAAATAAATAAAAGATTACATATAATAGATTAATCATTTATAATGAAAACAAAACTGTAATTGGGTTCACAAAAGTTGCCATGCAATATTTGTTGTTATCGTTTCATTGACAGTGTTTTGAGCAGCATGTGTGGTAAGCATGTCGTTGTATTTTATATATATATATATATATATGTGTGTGTATGTATTAACGGTCTCTGGCGTGCAGTGAATCATTTTGAGAAGCAATTGGTTCAATTGACTCGGAGTTTCTGAAAGCTCCGTTTCTCCATCACTACTTGCCAGTGCCTACATTCGTGTTTAAGGTAAACTGGTTCACTATATACAGAGTTATAGAGCGAAATGAGACACATTTTCTGCTTTTCACGCGTGGATGAGCTTTGTTCAAAGAAACAACGTTTATATATGTTAGCTTAAAAAAAATTACTTGCTATTGAATGTAACGTTATAACATTTATCATTGCTTGTAAAAACGATAAAAAACAATGAAACCGTTTGCATCGACGTAATTATCTTAAACTCCAAATTGCTCAAACAATTTAAACCGTAAACCTTTCTGCAGCAGAATCCACAGGCGCAGGAGCGGCGCGGCCTTATGACGTCATGTCACCAGACCAAAATAAAAGTCTCGTTTAAACGCTAGCTGTCTAAAATCACCGGGAGTATACACATTTACATACATTAAATTGATTCCAGAGTAATTCAGAGTTTGGTTAAAACACGCTTGGTTAAACACTTTAACGTTAGACTGTTGGACTTTTTTTTTTTATGATTTTAATTTACGACCTAACCCTAAACGTCAGCTTATAAGCGTGCGTGCGTGCGTGTGTGCGTGTGTGCGTAACGTTACGCACTTTTATTTTGGTCTGACGACGCCATAAGCCTGCGCTCTTGTGCCTGTTGTGATGTGATTCTGCTGCAGGAAGGTTTGTCTTTAAGCATTGAAAGTTTTTACAACTGTTCAGGCAGTTTTGCACTGGACTTTAACGTTATAATATCTCGTTTACCATTTAATAGCGCTATTTATTTTTGTGAGTAAAGCACATACACAAAAGGTGCGTCTCATTTCGCTCCCTAGACCTCACGTAGTACGCGTTTGTCAAGTCCAAGAACATGCAATTTGCACAGCTTTCAATACTGATTTATTTATGTATTTGTTTATTATATTTGTATTTATTGTTATTGTTAATATTTTTTCCCCCTGCTGGAGTTTTACTGTCTGGCAGAGTTTAACTCCAGCCTTAAAGGGGTCATATGATGCGATTTCAAGTTTTCCTTTCTCTTTGGAGTGTTACAAGCTGATTGTGCATAGATAAGATCCCTGAAGTTGCAAAGACTAAAGTCTCCAAACCAAAGAGATATTCTTTATCAAAGTTAAGACTCTAAAACGGCTCGTTCTAACACGCCCCCACATATCTACCTCACTATGTGGAAATATTTGCGTAATGCCGCCCAAATGTTCACGCAAAGAAAGAAGGCGTGGTTTCAGTAACCGCAGTTAGTGTTGAAGCAGCATGTCAGGGAGACGCTGTGTGTTTCTAGGCGAAAGCAAAAGCACTTTATTTGGCCTTCCGGAAGTAGATGCATTTAGGAATCTTTAAGATCACTTACAACAGAACAGCAATGCATTTTATGGAGGACCGTTTCGTGAACCTAGGAGAGGAGGTCATTCTGACTTTGCTATGACAATCTGGCGCTTCTGAATCAGCCACTGTAAGTAGGGATGGACGATATGGCCAAAATTGATATCACGATATATTTCTTAATTTCGGTCGATACGATATAATTTCCGATATCGATATGAACACTATCTAAACTAAAATCTTTTGTAACATTATAAATGCCTTTATCATCACTTTTGATCAATTTTAAGCATCCTTGCTAAATAAA